GATTTCCATGCATTTGATGATCAATTGCTCGGTTTAGGAATGACGACAGTCGGACCTTAACGAGATCCCTTCATTTGCTTAATTAACTATCGACTTTCCGTCGGCAATCTTGTTAACGAGAAATCCGTCGATCGTTAATAGATAATGCAGCGAGTCAGAACAGACAGTGAAATAATGATTCTACTCCCGGACACAATAGACAAAGAAATTCGGTTCGAGTTTGTTCGTCACGATCGAAATTATTCGGTAATTACTAGGCCGTGATTCGACTCGAACAATATAGTAGGTAGGAATTTCAACTACGTCAAGAATAAAGTCGAATCGGGAAGCGTTTTAATTAAAACCGTATTCGGGAATCAAAGAAGAAAAAGAAGAAGATGCAAACGCTCCTATTATCGACGATTCTACGTCAAAGAGAGTATTTCGTAAAAATATTATTCGACACGGTAACCCAGTTCGAATTCACCGGTATAGAAGGCTGGTGATCATTCGTGGAATACTTGGACGAAATTAGCAAACGGGGGATCTCCATTGATTTACGACCTACAATCGCCGACGAAGATTTGATTGCCCCGGGTGCAGAAAGGCGTTCTAATTATCGTGCTGCTGTACACACACGTTGCGCGTTTCACGCTGTTTCCAGATGAATTTAGGACAAACGCAGACAAATTGCTGCTTTGAGCTCGCTTCGTTCAACTTGAAGCAAGTATGACGAACATTGAAGCTACATTTTCAGGTAATAGTGAATCGCAACTTTTCCTATTACTATCACCGTCTAGTTAAATGAGCATTTATGTCTAATTTTCATATGATAGAGGCGATTAACCCCTTCCTGCTATAACTTTTTCGATAGTTATGTTTGTCGGAGCTAATTATTCATTGCTCTGAAATATCATGCATAGATAGTATTCAACGATCCTTGGCTGAGCAAATTATAATTAGAATTCAACTGAAAATTCAACCCATTTGTATCCGCACACGATGATTGCCAATTATCATCGACCGCGGGATAATATGCAATGTTCACTTATTATCAGCCGCGGAATATTCCGCGATCGGCGATATTCTTCTAGATCATTTATAAAAGATTACCATATTAATCCTTTGCGGACGAATATCACCGCACAAGCAACGTCACATTTCTATTCACTAGGTCGAATGTCGCCTCAAAGGCGGCAAAAAATAATTTCATTATCTATACCGGGGGTAGTCAATTTTTATACCTCCCGTCCACTTTTGTATCTCTGTTAATAGTAGAATCTTTTAACCGCCACAGTAATGGTGATTTATAAAGTAGGGAAGTAACTTTACTTGTAATAAAGGAAGTAAAATTTCCATTTCAATGTTTTTAAAAAGTCAATTAAATTAAAAAAAAGGAAAGTGCCACAGTATCGGACAAAACCTCGCGTCCACCATGAAAGCTGAAAAGTACTAGTGGGCGGTAGGGACCAGGTTGACTACCACTGATCTTTATCGTCATTGGGTATATTTTCCTAATCTGGCAATACTAACCCTTTGAGTATATTTAACGCTTCAGTACATAATATCGCTTTATGCAAAAAGTCCTCAACTGCAAAGGGTTAATTAAAAAAATTATACGACCCCCGGTCGTGTTACAACCGCTCCGTACTCCGGGTAGCACTTTCTCCATCTCATTTTTTATTAATAACTTTAATATTACTTTTCGTGAAACGATACTGCTGGAGTTCAATAATGTCGGATACCCATATAAGATTTTCGTATAAAACATTTTGCAGTAAATGTTATAGTTTTTGCGTAATCGTCGCTCAAAGTCAAATTACCATTTTTGACCCCGATCTCCCCTACGGTGAGACGGGCTGACTGTTAATTGAACGTCTTAGATGAATAACACTTGTAGCATATTCAGAGTTAGTTCTAAAAGTACTAGCCAAATTTAACACATTCGAAGTGTAAGTTACATCAAGAGTGTGACTCGATATTATAGGGTAAAGGGTTAGAAATGCTAGGCGTCGATGCAGTGAAAGCACTAGAGATAAGAAGGGGCGTGCGAAGAGAAGAAAACAAAAGGAAAATCGACAGAGGCATATAATTTCAAGCTTGCCATGGAGACGGGCCAACGGAAGAGATTAAGGGGTGAATTCGAGAAGGAGGGGTTAAATCGTTGAAACGCGAGCGTGCACAAAGGGTGCCGACTGAAAGCTTGTCCGCGTAAACAGAGAAATAGAAAAGAAGAGAGGAAAGTATCTTCATCTTGGCTTGACAAAGCCTCTCTCATGATAAAATGCTATGATTAAAAACTCTCTCGCCTACCGCACCGGACCCGTGCTTTTTGTACACGTACACGTCTGCTCTATTTGAAGTATTGTAGTCTTGGTTTTGGTAGAGGGGTTGAGTCACCCTTTTAGCGTTCCGTCACTCTAGTCTGCGCCACCCTCTCCGAGTAAAAGCTACCTACCGGATGGCTACACAGACGCTGTGAAAGAACGGAGAAAGACGGGGAAAATTTTCAAGAGGAGAAAGAGAGGAACAGAGAAATAGAAGTAGACAGACAGGTGGCAGTTGGATCGGTCTGCAAAGCAGCGTTTTCAAGGAATAAAACGACCTCAAGTGGTGGCCGAAAACAGATTGCCCGAGGAGAAAAGCTGTCGGAAAAATTATTATCGTTACCGTCGTCCAAAACGTGGCCGAGGAAAAAATAGAAAGAAAAAGCAATGAAATGAAATGAAATTAAATTGAATTAAATGAAAGGAGAGTCAGATCGTATCAAAGATGCTAGAAGAAAACATGGTTAAATCCGTTTATATACTCTTTTAAAGTGCTTTTTATAGGGTATTTTAAAGTTAAATGATCCAATTTCCTGTTACATTAACAATAGAGGAGAAGGTACACATATGAGATAGGGTAGAAATGTGAAATACCAAGATTTAACGCCGCATTGAAAATTGTAACAATGATTGTATATTAAGTATTACGACGAGAAAAATTCTCCCCCATAACACCATTGAAGAGTAGAACCTGGGTCATTCATGAGCCAAACTTACAAAACATATATAAGGGTATTAACCTAAAGTAAAAATATGTAATTTTTAAATGAAAGAGTTTTATATATTGGGAAAATAATTTTTGAAGAAATAGTGTAAAATTTAGAAAATAAAATACGAAACTGAATTAAAATTGGGCTCTCTGTATGGTTCACCATCCGAGGGTTAATAAATGCTTTAGCTTTTGGCCGCAATAGAAAGTTTCTATGCGTGCTTCTTAAAGTGAAATTTACTTTGGTGAATTTTAAGAAAGCAAAACCGGTAAGTTATATTATAATAATGATACATGAGGTATTTGTGTTTTGATTATAATAAACCATAATAGATAGTGAAATAACAAATTGGTAGAAATATGAGATGTTTGATTCGTAGCAATATGAGACCACATTTTTAAATTTATTACTAAATAATAAAATGAACATATAAAATATTCATATTTTACGATTTCGTTCAATGATAGTTGTCTTATTATATTTTATGTCCTATTCTATCTTAATTTTATAACTTTATTTTTCTCAAAAGTAACATTGTCTCATATTACTATTCGAATTAGCCCAAAGCCATAAATTAGAAAAAATGAAAAAAATAACAGATGTCTTAAAAAGTCTATAATATTCATATTTATCAAGCTTATTCCACATAAAATCCCTCAAATTTGTATGTTTAATTTTTCTATTTATGCCTATTCTGAGACACTCTACATTTAAAAATAAAATGGATATCCCATATTTGTACCCTCTCCTCTATACGTAAGCACAACAGTGTTACGCTGAAAGTTTTGAGAATCACATCTATGATTGCTTAAAGAAAAATCACTGTTCAATCTTCGAGCACAGTTAACAACTTTGCTCAACTTTAGCTCTTCAGAGATGGTGTTGTCTCCAACAACTTCCATACGCGATCTTATGCATACTTTCTCAAAGCTTTCAGTGTTAAACCGGTTTAGAAGGGTAGCGAAGAAAGCCTGTTGAAAACTTATTAAAAGGGAATCGTTCTACGTTTATTATTAAAGAGATAAGAGTAGAGAGTGCGGAAGAACTGACGACGATAACGACGACGACGACGACGACGCGTTGTTTTAATTAAGCAGCAGAGGGAGAAAGTGGAACATCTTTTTCGAGGCAACGTTCCGTCACCTAGAAACCAAGCCACCCATTCGACCGCGTCACAATTACGCCAACTTACGTGTGGATTTAATTATTCTCCACAAGCAACCGGAGCAACCGTGTTCGTTCCAATTAATTACTGCTGGTCGTTTACCGGCAAACAAAATGTGTCGCGATTCAAAGAGGATGCTAGCAGGAGAAATAACGTCACCCTTTGTCGATCACCAATTGTATTCTCTCTCGTTAACTGTGGCCTTCTTTACCATATCTCTGCTATGTAAATGATCCAGTTTGTGCAAGGATGACTTAAGTTTTTGCTTTTTAATCCTTCCAAACGAATGATGTGTATAGGAGTACAGGAGATTCCAAAATAAGTCGTACAACTCAGAAAATGATGATCCTATGTTCTTTAACACTAGAACTACCAAAGGGGTCAAAACGGCTAGTTTCCATTTTCTTATTTTAAATTATAAATTTTATCGAGGTATTTTTATTGAAATGTACGTTGACTTAATTTTTTAACTTAACTTTATTTTTAACTTAAAAATAAATGTACATGAAACGTCGGTGGTTCTAGTGTTAAATGGCACCATATAATCTTGTCCGTGTTCATTAGATGTTACCAAACGGTGCAGCAGAAAAGTTAAACAAGAGTAAAAAAGTATTTACTTTCTCGATCTCAGGAAACAGATCTTCCAGTTCCCTTTCCTTTCGTAGTTACTTCACTTTCTACTCGGCAATTTGACAGTTAAATTGATTATAAGACGAATTCAACAGCCAGATCGAATTTTCCATGATGGTAAGTCAAATTTCTGCAAGAATTTCGAGCGCAGCTGTTAATTTTGCGGCACTTAAAGTAACTTAGAGACTCTCCAAGCTGAAACTTTCACGACTTTAGAGAGCTTTCAGTGGTTTCAGCGAGCAGGTTTCATCGATCCGGTGGCAGGAAGAAGAGGGGACAAAAGTCAGGAAACCACGATTCACGCAAGCCAGAATTCTCTCGAACGAATAAATGAACTGTTTCTGAAAACTTGACGTCTCTTTCATTACCCTGTCTACAAGTTTGTTTCTTAGTCACAGTTTACTTAAGTTCACTAGATATTTTAGTACTCCTTTTATTTGCACTTAGAATCTGCGATCTCATATAACGAACGAATGGGTAGACAGAGATTCTTTTTTTTTTTTCTTGTTCAAAATATTACAGCGACAATACGTTTCAGAAATCAATCTACGTGTCTTCGGATCGGGTGAGTACATTTGATCAATCGATATATTATAATACATTTTTTGTGGAACCTTAACACCTTCGAGACCGACGATGAATCCTATTTTTTATACTTTATACGACTCATAATTACAGTCATGATTAAATTGCTACCCTCTGGATATCGTTTTACGATAATTATCTGCCCTCGAACGTGTTAACGCGACTTAATCAGTAAATACTTATCATTAATTAAATTAATGTACGACCGTATTCGACGGTGCTTGTTTTCTATATATAAAAGGCATTGAAAATTTTTCTAGCAAACTTTCTCTCGTAGAAAAACCATCCAATTCGTTCGAATCTTTGTTAACTGCGATACTTATTTTCTATTTACTTGATTCTAGGATGAAATTAATTTTCCAATTTTCCGAACGAATGAAAATATCATCGTGCAGCAGTTAACAAAGTTCGAACGAAGCCCTTCGACGATTTTCATCTTTCTTCTCACTTCTGTTCCTTTCATCAAAGGAAACTGGTCCATCTTATAGGAAGGTGCTCCAATAGACGACATTCAAGATGAGAAAAGAAAACGGAAAAAAGAATCTGGAGAACTTGTCGATGTAAATCGCAGTCGCCCGACCCTGGCAGCAGGTGTCGTATTGAACGGTCGCAGGTCTCACCGGACTTCTGCTTCTCTCGGAATCATTCCTCATCGGCGTCTGTTAACAAAATGGCGGGTTAATTACCTAATTAACCAATTAAAATAATATTTGTATTTGCACAGGTGTATTTTAAGTAGAAAGCTCTCGGTCGCCGAAAATGTTCGATCCGTTTGCTTTCTCGTTTTCCGTTTACAGAAGCGGAAGCATGAAGAATTTAAAGGGATTCCGTGGTAAATTTACGCCAGACCGAGCCCGTTAATTAGACCTGCATCTGTACACGTTACAAACGGCCTCGTTTTCATATTAACGCGTTAATGATTAGCCGCGGAGATGTTTGCTTTACGACAAAAAATCGACAGTTACTCTTGGGAATCTTTTTGGCATCTCTGCCTTTAAGCTAGTGAAATTAAAAAACCAAGGGTGTCGTATGTTACCAGCTCCGCAGGATGTTCTGAAACTTCCGTTCAAGCTTGTATTACCTCTGCTAAACTGTTCCATTTCGTTTTTCTAAAGTCACTATAGAAACTTCTCCGTTTTTAGGCAAACAAAGTGCACTTTTTTTCTCGACTGCATTGAGTTTACTAGCAGAAACCTGGAATTCAGCCACGTTTCCATCAATGTTAGCTATTCATTAATACCCTGGTCCAGCGTTCAGAAACGCTTAACCCTACTAATTGTAAGTTCGAGATGTATAATTCCCTGTGGCTGAATGGGAAACGAGAGCATGCCACGGTTTCGTGAATTATGCCGGTTGCCAATGAAAACGGGACCACCGTTTCTCTACCCTTTGTGCAACCCTTTTCCGTAAATTTTCCTCTTTTCTTTTCTCTACTCGAGCCTGAGATATAGGTTCTTCGTCTTCCATGTTCATCGCTAGGTCATTCACGCGGGTCAATTAACCCTTTGCGGTTCGAGTGTGCCTCCCATGCGCAAACCCAATTAACTATCTTAAGTAATCTAACTAGTAACCCAATTAAATATTGTATAATATCTGGGAAGCTTGAAAAATCTGGCCAAAGGACAGCTTAAGACAGATATTACCATAAGCCTCGTTTAAGTACTCGACACTTTGATGGTCGGATATTTCATCTTAGATTTTCTTCTTTGTACAAATTAATTTTGTGCCTTTTCTTCATTTTAATTAAAGATTTATTTTTAAACAGCTATAATAATTCCAATTATTGTTATTATGTCGTCTTGTCACTTTTCAAATGTTCAAAACCGCGAGAAAATATTAATTAAGAAGGCGTAATAATAAAGACACCGAATTAATTTGTACACCTGATACATTTCGCAAGCTACAGAATGATGAATTTTCAAATCAGATAATGGGTGGAATGAAAAGTAGAAAAGGAAATGTCGTACTTTGAACTCGTCGATGGCCTCCCTGAGATCTTCGTCAGAATATCCTTTCATGGCTTTGGTGGCCACAGGACCCATGTAGTTGTTCACTACGGCAAACTCCATCAGGGATAGGAACACGAACACGCTGCAAGAGGACATCCAAACGTCGATGGCTTTCACGTAGGAAACCGGTGGCAGTGATTGCTGGGACTGCGTGTTCTGAGTGGCTGTGGACAGAGAGCAGGATCGTTTCTCGGTCAGTAGTTAGGTTCGACTTCTTCGATTCCCTGTTCGTCCCTATGCTAATATTGAATCATCGCATCGACGCACGCCTACGTAACGCTTTCCCAATTGCGTCATACCCGCTAGTCGCATTGCTATTTCCCTTGTCCCGTGACGATTATTCCATTAAATCATTTCATCGAATTCCTCTGGTGTAGAGGAGAAGGTACGAATATGAAATAGGGTAGTAATATGAGATATCAAGATTTAAACCCCTGCGCAGTATTGATTTTTTTAAACAAAGATTGTATATCAAGTATTACGACGAGTAAAATTCTCTCCCATAACATTCTTGATGGATATCATTGTTTTATTTAACAAACGTTTTACCTTTTGGCCGTGCTTCTTAAAGTGAAATTTACTTTGGTCTATTTTCTGAATTTTAAAAAAGCAAAACGAGTAAGTTGTACTATAATCAAAGAATCATTATGGTAAATAATAATGGACAAATTAGTAGAAATATGAGATGGTTGATTCGTAGCAATATGAGACCACACTTTTAAATTTATTACTAAATAATAAAATGAACATATGAACAGATAAAATGTTCATATTTTACGATAAAAGATTCTCTGAAGATTGTTAAGGCGAATTGTGGATTTAATCCCTATCATGCCACTTATGGGCAAAATTCAATTGTCCATAAACAATAAAATAAATGTTTCATTCAATTGTGGTTGTCTTATTGTATTTGATGATCTGTTATGTTTCATTTATCCTTATTAATGTTCTGGCTTAGTTTCATAACTTTAATTGTCTCATAATATTGGTAGGGGAGATTAGGGCAAGTTGATATAGGGGCAGATTGATACAATGACACTTTCTGGACGATTATGGCTAGGTATCTGAAATTCATTCGTCAACTGTTGTTTACGATGGAATTTACGTCTATGTTTAGAGGCGTTGATAATTGTTATTAAATTTTTCTCGTTTCTACAACAGCAAAGTAAATATTCAGGTTGGCTTTTCATTTTGTCTGGAGATGGATTATATAGAATATTATATTATAAATTATTGTAATTTAAACCCAACCGAGCCACGTATTTTCCTTTCCAAAGAAAATGAAGAAAGTCGTATCTTATTGTTAGCATCGATAAATGTATAACGATAACACGTTGAACACCACAGTGAAAGCTCTAATTACTAAGAATAGTAATAATTAATTGACAAATTTCAAATTTCAAGCTTTCTATTTGCCATTATTTGTACCATATCAATATTACTTAAAATAATATTTTTCTATTGTTTTCTTTTAATTATTCAGGCATGTGTAAGTTGCGGGGCCTGTCACCGGTGACCCCCATGACGTTCAACGCGTTGAAAAGAATCTCATCGTTTTAGAAATGTTCGATTTTGAAAGACTACGAGAAAATCTGAATCTGTACTAGCTTACCGAGGGTCAGCAGTGACGTCACTCCGAGAGTGACCCGAGCGGGGATCGCCTCGGGTTTGATCCAGAACGCGATCCAGGACATGACCACGATCAGCGCGGACGGTATATACGTATGGAAGAGGTGATAGCCGAGACGACGACGCAGATTGAACACTATTTGAATGCACGTGAAGTTCCCGGTCGAGTATTCGATCGTGCAGTCGGTCGTGTAATTGTTCGAAATGTCCAACTGCGGCAGCTCGATCTCTGGATTCACCACCAATGGATCCGTCATGTTCCATATGAACACCAGGTCCTGCGTTGTGTGTGACACTGGAAATCGGAAATGATCGTAACAGTTGAAAATTGGAACGAAGAGATTTTACAGGTAGCACACGTACAACTTTCGATCATCATTGAGCAAATCTGAGTATCGTGTGGATAAGACTCAAACTTCATCGCGCAGGAAAGAACGAGGGTCAATCTGAAATAAGAAATAACAATTTATAAACAAGTTGGTTCGATTTAATATCGAATGGACCAGAGGTAGTCAACCTTTTTATGATTTATAAAGTAGGGAAGTAACTTTACTTGTAGTAAAGGAAGTAAAATTTCCATTTCAATGTTTTTAAAAAATTAACTAACCCTTAAATGCATGATTTTTTAATTTTTTACCGAAAAAATCTATTGTATGTAGATTATTATATAAGTTTATGCAAAAATACAAAAAAAAATGATTAGCCAATCCTCATCAATCCTCTTTCTTAAAAATTTTAAAATTTATTAATTCATTAAAATTTTTAATTAATATTTTATTTTGATTTGAATTTCTTTTATTTCATCAATAAAACCTTAATTCTAATATTAATATAAAATTTTTAAACAATAATACAAAAATAATTGTATATTTTATTGGTTTTTCCCATCGTGGATCATCAAATTAATATACAAGTTCCCCTAAAACTTTATATAACCGCCATATTTTATAATTTTAATGTTTTACATTTAATAACTAAATATTTAATCCTAGTTCTATCTAGGATTACCCATACCCCATAAGGTTTTAATTTTTTTTGAAAAATGGATTGCTTCAAAAATGATACACCATGCAAACATAAATAATATCGTTAAAGACAGTGTTTCGTTTTTGAGACACTATGCACTTAAGGGTTAAATTAAAAAAAAGGAAAGTGCCCTCCCGCCCACCATGGAAGCTGAAACGCCCACTAGTGGGCGGTAGGGACCAGATTGACTACCACTGGAATGGACTATAATTTCGTTGTACTTCTTACTTAGACATGTAAAGTAGAGTCTTGTCATGATAGAGCCAAAGATAATGATTCGGTATCGACATCTCATGGAAGGTGACCTTCTTCGCGTTCTTGAAGAAGCAGTCAGGCCTCCAGATATTGTGCAGCCAGTCAACGTCCAATATTCTATACTCTTCGGACATGTTCTCCGGAAGTCGAAGTCTCGAATCCCGCCAACTCTGTGCCAGAAATATGTCAGCAACGTACGTCTGAAAATCGTAAACGATGCGAGTCCGCGCGTTTCATTTCATCCGACCTGTGCCTCCCACGCTATCCCACGCCATCAGGGATTTAATTGGATAGCGTTTATAGAGAAATTACCATAGACTCCTCGTTTATGGAGTCAAGACTGAGCACGGTGACATGGAAGTAGACGATAGTAGGCTGCCCCAAGAACTTCGGCGCCCTGTGCTTGTCGTACTGCTTCGGATTCAATGGTAGGATGTCTCTCAGTGACAAAGAGGCCTCCTTCCTGCCGTACTCCTCGAGATCCGACTCCCTGGAAGAAAGCAGAAGCGAGGAGAAGCGAGGCTGACGGGGCTAACGGGGCTAACTCGTCAATTCCCTGCCCGTTGTTTGTCGCGAACCAGAATTTGCCCGCCATTAGAATACTGTAATTGAGAAATTTATTCCCGTAGGATAACGTGCTTCCACACGATCCTACCATATTCTTGCCGATCTTTCGTTCGAATCTGTCCACCTATCCATCTATATACAATATGATATTTAGCTTCTATTCAGAATAATATCACGTACTTGAAATTTAATTAAAGAAGCATTGCCATAACTTATGTCCCGTTGTCTGCAAACGATCTCGTTTTCTCACCTCTGATGTTAAATTTACTTTCGTCAGTAAGCGACAATTCATAATAGCTACTTGTACATTTATAGAATATGGTAATCAAGAAGGTTTCGTGTTTCTAAAACAACCCCCATTCTTTTTTCGGAGTACTTTCTTCGTATTCTTCCACGTTGCAGGTTTCTTTTTGCATTATTTTCGTCCGTATTATAATAGCTACTTGTTTATGTATAGAATATGGTAATGAGGCCAGAAAGCACTGGATGTTTTTCACGCATTACTGTTTTATTCAATTCTGTCGAGTCTAATCAAATAGCTAACAAGAGGCGTGTCTGTTGTCGAGAATATTAAACGTTAACTTTCGATCGAGACCCTTATATAGGGTTATTCAAATTGAGTGTCACATCTTCAAATTGAAATAAAACGGAAAATATTTGATTTTTGTATAGTTACTTTATTTTAATACAGTCTATTTTATGACATTAATTATGAAGAACAATATCATTCAACAGTCCTTCTCCGCTTTTTTTTTGCGAGCTTGATACGTTTGACCAAATTTAACGAACGAGTAATCTATCACGAGGAGGAGACACCAATTGCCACCAAGATCGGATGATTTAACACCATTAGATTCTTTTTATGGGGTTTATGGAAAGTGAAGTTTACGCCAATAATTCAAAGACTATTGATGAAATTGAATTCCACTTGTGTAAAAATATAATGAAAAATTGGGTGAAATGCATCAGGTTCGTGAAAAAAGCCGAGGAGGACATTTAAATAATATTGTCATAAAATAGACTTTGTATTAAAATAAAGTAACTGTACAAAAATCAAATATTTTGCGTTTTATTTAAATTTAAAGATGTGACACTCAATTTGGATAACTCTATATTTAATCCTTTGCCCTGTAGTATCGAGTCACACTCGTGACGCAACTTGTTCAAATGCGTCAAAATTTACCTGGTAAATCTAAATTAAACGATTATAATTTTGAGTTTAATTCTAATTACAATTTGCTCAGTCAACGATCGTTGACATTTCAATTTTCTTAATTTGTTTTAAAATTCAAGCAATCAATTGTTAATTCCGATTGACGTAACTATTGCAAAAATCATAGGAGAAGGGGTTAATTATTAATTTCGATAGAATTGCGGTCGATGTCGCAAATGAGCAAATATCGAGAGCAGCCGGTGTAAAGGAAGTCCACGAACGGTGGCGAGCGAGTCTAAAATATTGCCGCGATTCCGATGAAACAGCAATATCGCGGAAGCCATAATAGGTCTTCGTGCTTGGCACACCTTTAAGTCCGGCCGAGATACGTGTGTTCCTTACATGCGGACATTTTAATATGCTAACCTACGACCTCCGGATCCGGTTTCCCCAAGAATTTCCACTTTCCTTCGCCGCAATTCACCCCTCCATCCTACGCTGATTTATAGGTGGCTCGATTTTGTCGCGTTAACTCGATTTCAACCCGAGACAATCCAGAAGATTCGATCCAATTCGATATTCGATGCTTTGGATTTACTCGAATGGTACATTTAACGTTTCAAAAATTCATTTCTAAGCGTGATTTATTCTTCCAACTTGTGAAAATCAAACTGCACGTAGTTTCGAGCGATTGCTGGTTTTGAACTGGTGGAAAAATGAATCATAGCGGATTATTATATTAGGGTGGCAAAGGTGGTCGCGATTGACGTCCGTTTAGCCAGGGCGAACGACTCGAGTGGGCTACTATGATGTGAAACGAGAAGCGCGTCGCGGCGCGGCGCCTTCTAGCGCCGTGAAACCTGCCAAGCCGATAAGCTATGACAAGACTTTCAGCAATTTCCTTTCAGTTTCCTCCAAACTGATTATCAAACATTCGTTTCTTCTGTTTTTATCAACCCTTTCGCTATGAAAAATCAATATTCTCAACCACTCAACCACTTTACTACCTGTTTGAAAACAATTTAGAGTTTTAGTATTTTTCCATAACGAAAGGGTTAAACAATCACAGTACAATTTACGGAGTCTCGAAGAAGTCTTCTTACAATTGGTAAGAAGTTGATGAAAGATAATTGTTAAGGCTCGTAGAAACTTTTTTTAATGGATGTCGATCATTTGGTGCGTTACCTTTCGATCTTCGGAAAGAATCGGTACCCACGCTTTCTCGCCGAAAGTCGAAACGTACTGGACGATAGGCTATCGACCTTAATATGCCAGCCTTCGACCTCCGTGGAAAGTACCGGTTCGCATATTTCCTCGCTGAAACTCGACACAGTCGCGGGTGATGCTTGGGCAGCTTGTACCGTCGCCAGCTTTTGCAACGAGAACGAATTCATCGCGTCCATCTTCGACTCGATTCTCCTCTCCGGAGTACTTTCGATTTTATTTAGAAAATTTCAAGTCATTCAAAATTATTTCAACAAATTCACCTTCGATCGATCCTTTCGATATTCCAATTACCTTAACATTAATATTATTTATGAAAGTTTTAAAGTGATCGGCCATCGAAAGGGTCGACCGCGAAGGAAATCTCGAAACTCGTCACGTTCCAGCGACGGTATGTTCGTTCTTTTTTTTTTTTTTTTACAACTAGGCCACGGAATCGTCCTCGAGATCGCGTTATCCAGCGATCGAAAGAGACAGAGACAGAATAAGCAAACGATACAAGTAGAGAGGCACCAGAGAAATCTTTTCGATCGATCGACAACGATGATCGACTCGGGCCAATTAATCGCGGGAAACCTCCTCTCCGCCTTCGATCAAGGCTAATCTCGAGTGTTCTATTCCGATCGCGAGCTTTTAGCTTCCAAACAAGTTCGCCTACTCACGGAAAATGTAGGGCCGCCATGTCAAAGAGCGTGTACAGGTAGCAGCATAGGATCACCAGAGATTGCCTCGTCATTCCTGAAACAAACGTGTCCTCTAAAACGGTGTCGTTCAAGTCGCGGATGGAACGATGCAAAATAGAAATTGCAATGCCGAGGAGAAATCGAGAAATTTCAGGAAAAACATCGACCTTTCAAAAACTATTTTAAAACTAATTGCCGAAGGAAAACGACTGAAGGCTAAAATGTCGAGTAGATAAGTTCTAAGGAGCAGAATCCGCTAGTGGACCTACTAATCTAAGACTAGCAATCATACGCGTGCTTGAAACACGTTGGAGAAGAGAAAATCCATCGACGAGACACCGAAACAGACTCACCGATCAGCTGTACATTCTATCGTTGCGATCCTCTTTGTCGAATGCAGCAACTGTCGCAGCCGGATCCCGTGGAACCCCTCCTGGAACCAGCCCAGAGTCCCTTATCACGATAGTACAGAGCCAGCTTATCGGCCCAGTAGCCACATCCGCCGGAAGGTCCCTCGAATATCCATCAAACCACGCCCGCCTGGATCGTGGTACGCGACTGGATTTCTAACCACTTTGGTCCCCGAATAATCATCGGTCCCCAAAGGGTGCTACCACTCGTAGAGTAGCCAGCGTTCAGTACAGATGATGACGACGAGTGGGAAGCATCGGGCGGTAGTTTTGAAAATCGTGATCCAGATCACTTCCCGTGCTGTTCCGTTGCACTGGTAAATTTCGATTTCACGATTCGTCGAAAGGAGGAGAAACCTGTACGAGGATCGGGGACACGACGCGGCTCTTATCGGCGAAAGGTTGATTCGCCACTCGGCCACTGGCCACTGTCGGGGCTTGCTGGTTCTGTAAACCACCCTGCTGTCGGTCGCTGCCTCTAAGCCAATTTGCCTATCGACTAACTGATTAAGCCCTACTCTCTTTCATCGTTGTGGACGTCCATGGTATAACTTATACGCTTATACAGGGTGTTCGAGCGTTAACGATCATCGCGATTTTTCAAACACTTCCGGTATTCTTATTCCTAGAAAACGTGGACGAACTCTCTTGAAACCTCTGGGACCTGTGTACTCGGCATTTTATCGATGGATCAGTTAAAAACCGTAATAAAAATTTCGTTGGCATAAAAGCGTGGATCAACGCCATGGTATCCTCCAATTTTTAATTCGATTCATTAACGAGCAAATAATGAAATAATACGATTTAGTGAAAACAGATGATTTGAGAATAAAATTTGCAATTAAAGATGGTGGAATTATCAAAGGCTCTGCTCATTCTTTGCTACTATAATAGAAGAACTGGTTCATTTACTCGTATAGTGGGTGGATTCTTCGCGTCCGTACAGCGCAAACTAGTGTGTGTGTGTGTGTGTGTGTGTTATTGGATGCACATATACCTAGCCATACGTGGCCAGACCAGCCTATGGCATACATATTGACTCTATCGAGTGTACATGCGAGTATCGATAGCCTGTCTGTTTAATGAGATTCACTGGAGGCGAAAGCAGAAACAAAGAAGGTTTTCGATGCAAATTCGATCGATCGATCTTGCAGGATCGAAGATTTCAACGATTGTTCGCGATTAATTGGCAGCATCGTTGGCCAACCCCTGTAACGATTATCGAAGTCAATTCTAGACGAGTTTAATGGTCGGAAGGAAGAGTCTTTCTCCCTTTTAAAAGAAAGAATAGAGTCTTATAATAAGAGTCTTAGGAGAGCTTCCAAGCGATTGAAACTTATTAAACCTTTGCTTTATCATTATTTTTCTTATCACTTTAATTAGAATTAAAACTATAGGTAATTTAATTAGAGCCTTTTTAATTATTCTTAGGCAATTTTTAATTTAAAAATACTTCTGGTCTGTCGTTCGATTTCCTAGAGGCAGTGTTAAAAATAGTCCATTCTCGAAAGGTGAATCACGATTCGAAAATGGTGAATCAAAAAAACATATTTTTAACTCCGTGTATCGTGTTCACCGCGACTTTGTTTCACTTCCGTCTGCTCCATTTGCCGCGCGACGCGGCCGTAAACAGAGAACAGCTTCCGTGGGCTCTTTGAAAAAATCCGTAATTATAAAATGTGTCTACTCCGTGTGATCGTGTTAGGTGAAAAATCGTTATCTATTCTAATAGAAAATTCTACAGAGGACCAGGTCACACGATTATTCCGTTTAATGAACTAGCAAACATTCTGATTAGTCACCCTCTCTAATCGCCTTTAAAGCGAAGCTTAATTATCGTCCCTTTGAAGTGATCTACCTTACGATTGACGGCGGGGGGAGGGAAAAAAGTAAGGGTTCTTTATGTTTGTTTAGCTTGTCAAGAAATGCAATGGAATAATGCCACGCATAGGGTGTAAGAAGAAGGAAACCGGCGAGCAAACGTGTTCGTCGCTCGTCTAACCCCCTCGAATCCAATTATTCGACGATGCGAGTGTTTTGACAGTTCGCACGCTTAAACGTGCCAGGGTGCCAACAGCTGATGTTCGTTGCTGGAAATATACTTTTAAATCCTCTCTTCGCTCAGCAAGCAGCCGAGGGGTAAGTGGGGTTAAGCTGGCCTAGTCGTGAGGTCGCATCAAATACAATGGTAAGAGGGATGCTACCAGGTTATGCTTCTACTGCTCGGTTCATAAGTTCTACGATGACCACTAATGTCTGTACACCCACAGTGGTTCGGAAAGCGATAATTTTTCAACTTCAATTTTATAATGACATTTTTTTTAGAACGAATTAACCACTTATTAGAGCTTTGAAATTCGCACACCTTTCCATTCTTAGATAATTTTTTGATCAGATATAATATTATGTAGTAAAAATCATGAAATTTTATGCGAAAGTAATTATTTTAATTACTTTTTATAGTACATCAAAATATAGGTGTTTAGGCTGTTATACAGGGTGTTGAAAAATTCCCTGAAGACCTCTACACCGTTGGATAGATCATGAAAAATCGAAGCGAAAAGTTCTGTAGCATTTTTCGATGGGATCAGTAGTTTAGCCACATTTCGTTGTTGAAAATTGAAAAATTGACCAATTAGCGCGCAGCTTGAGTGGCAAGACCCGCGGAGTAGGAGACTAGCCTCCTCTGCCACCGCCGAGACACGCCGAGCAGTGACTATTGATGTAGAAGACTGGACATGGCTTTGTTTTCGAGGAGTCATGATTTAGGGGGTTCCAAACACCCCCAGATGAGATAAGATCTGCATGACCTCCTGATTGCCACCCTCACGTCAATTAATTTGACAAAAAGAGGGAAAAATTAAATGAAATGAAATTAAATCTGCATGCAGAGACCAGTCATTCCGACTGACATCTGAAATGATCCAATTTTCACTCCTTTTGATTCTATTTTTTTGAGACTGAACAATTATTATTGTAATTGTTTGACAAATGCACTTTGGTAAATAAATCATTTGAAAAAAGCAACTGAGTTATTATTTAATTTACCCAATTTCATTTCTGAGTTATTTATTTAATGCTGGTAATTTCTTTTCTCAGCTATTTATTTAATTGTCTTAAATTCTTCTATCATTTTTGTTATTCAATGTACTTAACTTCATTTCTCAATTATTTATATATAAAACAACTGTTTGATCTTTAATAAATTACAAACCGAATATAAAGTAATTACTTCCCAATATGAGAAGTTTAATCTAGAACAAGGTGCGACCTCTTCAGTCTTATAGCGACCGCCGAGGGGTGCGGATCAACCTATCAAAGATACATACAATACTTCTAATGTTTCTTTGGAGTTTATTTCATTTACTTTATTTATTTTTTACGCTTATTAACAAGCTCATCAAAGAAGAATAAAATTTATGATTTCTCTATTCTGGAACTCGGCCGACCAACCCTTTTATTTATTATTTTATCCGTCCTTATGTGCCCCGCCTCACTTTTCCAGTTATTTACTATTTTATCCTCCTTTATGGGTCAAACCCACGCCTCCTAATTATTTATTATTTTATTTCTCTTTATGGGCCTCGCGGGGTACCACCCTTCCGAGTTATTGTTTATCCTATTCCTACTCTTTATGGACCAAAGCCTCTCTTTGCAGTTATTTATTTTTTTCATTTTTTTCTCGGACCTCGCAGAGACTACTCCCAAATCACTGTATCCTCGTATCCTTTGTATCCCTCACATCCCAGCACTTCTTATATCCCTACATTCCGTGTGTTCCTGCATTCCTTATATCCTGGCATCCCTTACATTCCGGTATCTTGCGGCGAAAATCATTTTATTATTTTTATCATTGCTATTGCTGTCATATTCTCAATTAAGGCGTTAAGTATTGTGCCAGGTCATTCCTATGAATTTGTTAACTAAAATTTGTTAATTTGTTAATTTTTAACTACTAGTTGATCAGTTAGTAGATGACTTTCAGGTGAAGAAAAACCTCGAGGAGGTGCTAATACTGGACAAGGATTACAGCGATTAGGTTTAGATGGAAAACCAGGAGGAAAACGAGAAACAAAATTTTATTGCGATACTTGAACCCGCAAGCCAGGGATACATATTGGAGAGTACTTCGAAAAATATCATAGTCTGAAATATAAAATCTGGATTATCTTATTATCTTATTATTCTGAAAATATATCAATAAATTTTTATAATTGATATAAAAATCTTTAACACATAATTCCTCTTCGTACGAAAAATAGCTTGAACCTAGCGGTATGTAAACTTAAAATACTTCTGGACTTTTTTAAGGGTTAATTTTAGCCACAAATTACCATTTCCTGGACCATTGTGGTACTGCTTTACTCTTCTTATTGATATCATCTTGTAATATACAGGATGTTCCAAGGTTTCGTTACCCTTATCGAAAAAAGGTTGGTTCAAAGATAATAAAGTACAACAACAATTTTATAATTTCAGAGGCCCTAGAGGGCCCGTTCGTATTTATTTACCAACGCCTCGGCAACTCGTCAGTTGTCCGTATAATAATATTATAACAAGTACTTGCTCTCTTCGTTCGCAATCGTCCATTCGCGCGCTCTCACTTTCACTCTCACCCGTCCCTTTCTTCGCTGTAATTACTTTTAATTTCTATCGTACACCTTTGCCAGCCGCACCACCGATTTCTCGTTTAAATATTTCAACCGTTCTTCTTTTCACTCGTTGTCAGAAAACGGTTTCTCATGAAATTCTTTTTTTTTTTCTAAGCGGCCCTCTTTAGTCTCCTCGAATGAGCCTCTCGTCGCTTGAGATCTCTTCGAAGATATAATCGGAGATCTCATTGGTGGAACGACAATAGACGCTCGAGGATCGTTACCTCGATTATTTAGTTGATTTAGGTACGCATACCTAATTCCTGTATATGTATATTATGTATATGCATATGTATATATGTATATATGTATACTTATGTATAGGTATATACAATCAACATTACATCGGTATCGCACTAGGGAGTTAGTCGAGAGGGGTTGTGCCCCGGCTCAACCACCCCAACGGATTCTCCGTGTTACTTCATTTTTTTTTATGATCTTTTTATACATTCAGCTGCTATTATTCGCCCTCTTTCCTTTTAATACGTGCCTCACACTTCCCTCCTTCGTAGGATGAACTCGCACACACAGAAAATGACTAAACAAAAACAACCCTCTCAACTTTTCAATTATTCTGTTGGTATTCAAGCTACGAACAGATGGCTCTGTGATCGATAGATTCTCAAAAGTTTCAGCATGATCTATGAATCTGTTCAGAGATCTGCTAAACGAACCGCGCGGCAACTACGGAACTCTGATTAACCAAGATACACCAGCTGCATTTCCGTCCTGATTACTCGGTATCATAGCCGACCTTTAATGGCTGACATTACCGTAGAGATTACTGATAACCTCGAGTCTGTTTCTCGTTATCATAGTGTTCG